CTAAACTGTCCAAATAAAATGCCATAAGTGTTAATTTGGGGGGGAAAAATGTATATACTTTGCATTGATTAATATGGAAGAAGCATGTATCAGAAAAGGAAGTCTTACTTTACAAAAACACAACTAATAAATAAGAGAATAAAAGGCATTGTGAGCTTCTCTAGTTTTGAAAAGGAAGAGAAGAAGATCTGAATGTTGCTCATCAGTCACAAATAAGTATTTGTCACATTCCATATAGATTTTTAAACTTGACAGGGGAATAATTGATATCTTAGAAAAAAACCTTTTTTTGTGGAAAAAGATTAGTCATTTTGATAAATTCCATGTAGTTTATAAAGGTCTTTTGGACAATCCTAACAACTTTTTAAGTTCTCAATTTCATTGAAAATGCTATATTTTTTTTCTGCATGCCAATCCTAGCGGATTTTAAAACAGTATGTGTTAAAATGTATCACTTTTGGTGCTGACTGAATATCTTCAAGCTGCAAGACTGTATCAAAATTCTGGTTATTTTAGGAGGTTTCAGAGTGATCTTGCAGCATCAAAATTAGGATATTTATTATTTTTATTGTGTAGTTGATTTTTTAATCCAGGGTGAAGCTCATTGCATGTTTTATGGGCCGTGGCACAGATCAGCCACAACTGAGTGACAATCTTTGGATATGGAACAAGAAAAAATCATTACTGAACTCTTAATATCTCCTGAGTGAACCTTGTTAGGAAATTTCTCTAAAACAATTTGTTCATGGCTGACATTACTAATCATAACTGTATTCCCAAGGAATTGATGGTTATGTATTTCATTGTTTTCAGTTTTATTATTTTAGCCAGTTTTGCACTTGTAATATCATTTTAATCTGGCTTTTACTGGTAGTTGAATAACTAATAATTACAGCACTCTGAAAAGCATCTTCTGCACATGCAGAGTTCATCAGAATTTCGACATTTCTTGTAGATGACATTGAGAAAATTTTCTATTTTCTCAGCAAAGTTAAAGGGACTAAATATTCTGAATAATTTCCTTAAAATGTGAAAACAATACAACTTTTTCATAACAAATATAAATCCCATACCTCTGTTTCACAATACTCACAGACATAGTCTACTGGCTCAGTTGTAGCTAAATCCAAAATAATTTCTGTCTCTAATTAGCAGTTGTACACTTTCCTTAAGAGACTGTTATATCTTTTCATCTGGTAAATGTTAACGTGCTAAAGTGCCAGGGGCTTTTGCGAGGTCTGAAGAGGATGAGTAGTAAAAGCAGATCATCATTAATCTCCTGGGCTGCTTGCAGTTAAGTCTGTATTTTCAGTAAACTTTGCTGGAGCATGGGAAATTATTTTGAAACTTGTATTCAACAAGAGAATGGACTGAGTACTAGATGAGAATTTATAAAGCCAATGAGAGTCATTCTTCACAAGAAAGCAACTGAAATGTTTGACTTCTAAATAATTTAGCCATGAAGTTAGTTGCTCAATGAAAGAAATGAAGATTGGAATTTAGGGGATTTAGTGTCTTTATTTAAATAGCTAGATTTATAGCCTGAGACACCCAAGTTTTAGGTTTCTTCTGAGTTAAGAAAAGCAGCATTGGGAAAAAATGGCTTCCACATCTCAGATAAATATCCAGCTAATATGGGTTAGTACCTATTATTCCTGGCTAGAATGTGGTCTGGTTAGCGCCAGTTAAAGCCATTTTCCACCAGTGATTGACATTCTGAGAATGTAACATCAAAATTGCTTTAACCTCTATGACCTTTTTAAACTCAATAAATTTGTGAAATTTTAAACAAAATATATACCCAGACCTCCTCTTACCCCAGAACAATTGACAATATCTTGCAATGTCTTATTCTCTCCTTGAAGTTTAGCTATATTGCAAATATTTCAGCAGTAGAATTATGGTGCACATGGATCTATGCCTCAATACTGTTATGCATATTTATGATTTCAATGAATTATATCTAGTTATATCTTTTCCTATTTTTAAGAAGTACCCTCAGTGAAGCAAAAAAACTCTCATTTAGCTCAAGGAGCTGACCTAAATTAATCATGGTCTCACTGCAGAGTCATGAACTTTCATTTTAGAATAATTCTGTGGATCTCATAGCCACATGAAAAACAGCAGCATTTATTGTCAGTTTTGTGACTAATCAGTAATGAGCCAGTGATATGACTGTGGTTTATTAGGGGAAACAGAAGTTCTGTTCCCTTGTTGTTTTTACTAAAGCATGGGTTTATGAAACCAGTTGCATATGTTGTCACTTTTGGAGTATCTAAAACTGTATGATAGAACTAAATGGATTATTCCTAACTGTAATAAATTTAAGTTAATATTTTAAATTAATTATAATTTACTAGCATAAACTATTCCAAGATTGTGTATCATAATTTTATAAGACTCTTTCAGGAACAAAAAACATGAAGCCCTTTAATTTTTTCATATGTTAAAAAGCTACATAACTGAGTAATTCTGGTGCTACATCTTTCTTGCTTTCATTCTGCATAGGTTCTACTGGCAAATGAGAAATGTTGTAGCTTAAAGACATGCACTTATTCTATTTCCTTTAACAAAGGAAACACTAACCATGTTTACTACAAATCATGAAGTTAAACTAAACTGCATAACAATAATACACTTCTCCGCAAAGGATATGGGAGTAGGGATCCTTGAAAGCTAGAAAAACATTGGCAATCAAAAGCTACACAAAAGTAATCTTATTTTTATTACATACAAGGAACGTTTTCCCAGGAGTGCTGATGCCTGACAGAAAATAAATAAGAAACTAGGATAAAAGAAAGAAGGAAAGATTACTTGAGTTGAGGTGTTCGGCCAGGCTTTCCTTAGCTTCACATAACCAGGAGGAGTTTGGATTCTTCTGTGCTCAGCTACAACTGATGGAAATGTCTGCAAAAAACTTTGTTACTACCTAAACCACAGCTGCAGGATCTCCACTTCTGCTGCACCAGTCTGTATTCACATTTCTAAGCCTGACTCTAAATCTGAAAGCCAGCACCTATTGCTTCTTAAAGAGCCATTGCCTGGTGCCTGTACTTCAATCATTAGCTCTGAGGTAAGATCAGAGTGAGACTAGAAGAAAGAAAATAATAAATAAAAGGATCCTTCCTTAAAATAGTAATAATCATCAAATTCAAAAAAACATAAATGAATTTGGCACAGGTGAGTTTGGTGTTGGAAGGTTTTTGAAAGGACTAAAGGCCTGTCTGCCAGGAAGCCATGGAAATGGAATGTTTGAAATTACTATTCTGGCTTTGGAAGAAGTCAGGGGGTTCTTAGAGAGGAAGAAAACCTCTCTCAAAGCAAGACATGCATTTGGTGTGTTAAACAAGACAAGAAGGTATCACCACATGAAGTTTCTCTGAAGTCTCTCTGCAGGGCTGTAGATAAGCTGATAACTAACCTTGGCTACAAGGCTGTTTCCCTGCTTTGGTGTGAACTGTTCCTGGGGCTAACAGCAATTCAGGGGCTGCAGCATCTTTCAGCTTCTAGAGCTGAAAAAGGGCTGCTGAGACACAGCAGTGGCTGATTCTCTTGCACAGATGCTGACCATGCACCCTGTTCACAGGAGCTGCTGCCTCAAGCCATGAATTCCTCAGGAAATTGCATGGGGTGGCTTATCCCTGGCATGTCCCCATGATGCTTCACTCCATGCAGATGCAAGCCTTTCCCATCCTGCTTCCCTTTGACCATCACAAATCTGGAGCTGCAGTGCAGAAAGATTTATCTCTAAGAATTATTCATCCATCAGGGAAGAGGCTGATAGGGCTAGTCCTTCAGGGAATTGCTGGGAAGGAGAGTGTTTAGTCAGGAAGCACTAGGTACTGATTGGTACCTGGTGTCAAAATGCCTGCTGCAGGTTTGTGAGCAGATATGTGGGCAAAGCCCAGGCAGGTCAGACATGGCCCTGGAATGGCCAGAGGGAGCAGGGCTGTGGGAAAGCTGGAGACCAGCTGGGAATCCAACCAGAAATGCCCTTGGGCCTCCAGACTCTGAATTGGTGTTAAGACTAAACAGGTAACAACCTGCCCAGACATCCAGATTCTGCAGTTAGGTGAAATGAGGCATGTCAGTATTTTTTGCTTAATATTTCCTGTGGTTCTAGTTGTAAACCTCACAAAAGCTGCTATTTTCAGGACACTTTGACTTTTTAAGTACTACAGCAAAAATTGCTTTTTCTTTTCCCCCTGTAATTCAGTGTGTCTTCTCAACTTACAAAAAAAAACCCCACAAAATAATTGGCTCAATTTCAGTTTGACCTTACAGTCTGTTTGGGGTCAGTACTTATTTTTACCTATGCCAGTTTTTCCATGCTTAGTTTAAGGAGAGCAGTAAATGATTGAAGTACTTTTCTAATTGCAACTTCATTTCCATGTAAAGTGAAAGACATGGAAAAGCCTCTTACTTGGAGATTACCAGACAAGCAGTTAAAGAAAAGATAGATGGTTTCTGTGGTTCCTTAATGCTTTGCTAAATAAGATTGATTTCAGCCCTTAATCTCTTTTGTTAAAAAATGCTAGTAAATGGTTTTTTAAATTAAAAAAGGCCATATTCCCTTCACATTCAAAAAGTAAAGATTGATGTTTCTTCACCTGGCGAATATAATATGCACATTTAAAAAACCCCCAAAACAAACATAACCCAAAACAAAATCAGACTTGAGATCTCTCCTTATTTTATATTATATACTGAAAAAAAAGACAAAATATTCCTGTTTCTGTAAGGAACTTTATTCAAAATTATATTGCAGGTGGGTGTGGGGCTTTTTTGTCTGCTTGGGTTTTTTTTGGTTGGTTGGCTGGCTTTTGTTTTTGTTCAAATGTCTTTAGTGTATTTATATTGTCAGTCAGGATATGAATTTTATTGTTTACAGAATATATTGATTCCTATGAACATGACTTCTAACCAGAACATATTAGGAGCTCACCATCAGTACAGAGACATATCTCTTTAGAAAAAGACATTAAGCTTTATTTCTCCATTTCCTCTGTAAATTTTAATGGGAAGACATCTGACTACTTAAAAATTCTAGAAAGGTGCTCAGAGCATCTGTGCTTTCTTGAAAGGCAGCCAAAACATCATCAACACATCTCAGCCACAGTCTCTGTCATCTTCGACAACAGACGCAAGATCCCGTCCAGAGGATGATATGAAGATATTAGTAAATACTGGACTCAAATCTGTTTACAAGGGTTTAGTGACAGAAGGCAGCAAATAAAGTCAGCAAGAGCTTGTTGGAATGATGTGAAATCACAGACAAGTGCTGGTTCAAGCTCAGGCTCCATTATTATCCACAAAGGGCCAATTTGCTATGCCCTGTATCCAGTGGGGAACAGCAGCACTGTTAAGCTCTTCCCTTTGATGCAGGAGCTGGAAAGGTAAACCCTGTAATCGCACATGTGATCCTTCATGAAAGGAGAAGAGAGGTAAGAAATAGATCAGGAAGTGACAGGGACTCTTTGGTTAAATAAAGTCATAGAGATGGGGAAGGAAGAGAAATCCTGACCCATGGATTTGCATGATTCTAAATACTGTTTATATATGGTGAGGCCCAGGAGTAAAATAACAGAGTAGGGAAAGTTGAAGACGCATCAGGAAGAAAAACGACACACATTGAAATTATGCACCAATCCATTTAAATGAGAATGAAAACCAGAGAAAATCTGAGGTTCAGCAGAATTCAGAGACACCAGAGTTAAAAGCAGTGATCCCTGGATATCAGACTGCAGGCATGTTTCCTTTGCTGTCTGTCTCCTGAATCACAGCAGATCTTCAGATTGCTGAAGATCTGCTTACCCAGATCTTACCCAATCAACAGCAAAAATCTTTGTCTTCACCTACCTCTGCTCTCTTTCTGCCATAGAGAAAATATTGATGATCTTTCATTTTGAGTCATTTTTGCCAGGCATAAACTTCTTGGCAAATGAATCCATTAAAATGAACCCTTTAAAAGCAACAGGCATATTGTCATCTAATTGGACCATCAGATGATCATTTGCAAAGCATGGGATAGACAGAGCAAAACACCACAAAATATGTGTTTTCTGGTCATTCAATTTTTGTGCATGTTCTGGAAGAAAGGAAGAACTGTTCTTCAAAAAATATCATTACTGTTCTTTCTGGGAACATAAACTTTGTTAGAACATTGTTTTCAGCCTAGAAGTAATCAAATAAAAGCATTCTTCTACATTTTGAGAGCAAAAAGGAATTTAAATTAAGTAAAGATCTGAGACAATGTCATTCAGAACAGCTAATTTTTTTAAAGTTTTAGTCAACTGTCTCCTATTAAATATGAATAATAGGAGAGAAAATGAATAAATGACAAACTTATTTTACAGCCAATGTTTTAACTACAGTAATGGCAGCTTTAACCTCCTTCATTATAGCAAAAATTGACTCAGCTATATAAAGTCACCCATTGTTGTTGCAGTCAGCTGTGCAACTGGCATGACATTTCAGAGGGGTTAAATTAGTGTATTTATAGGAAAAAAAAATTGTTAATGGCCTCTGCGCTAATAAAGAATTACTGGATTTGAACTCTGCTCCGCCACACCCACTCCCTTCTTTTACTAATACATTCCTTCCTCCTTTGACAAATCTGGTAATCTTGCCAAAGAAATAAAAGAGAAGAAAAAAAAGCAGTTTCTTAGGGTCTGGATGGTTTGCAGCAGTAAAGATTTCCATTTTGACAAAGGCTGTATAAATATTATAAATCTTCAGGGAATCTGGTTCTCAGAATTCTCTGTATTCAAGGAATAATTTGAAGATGTCTATCCTGCAGTGTAAGAAAAGCATTGGGAGCACAAAATTTTTGTATCTAGCTTAAAAATGAAGGGATCTAAGGTATTATTTTAATCTCCCTTTCTTTCATTTATTCACAGCTCTTTTTCTATCATCATCCCATGATAGAAAATGATCCCTTGCTCCCTGTAAGGCTTTAATTTGGTAAAGTAGTCCACTACAAACCTTCATTTACACCTGTGCAGTATCCTCCCTTTCCCCTACATAGAGAAGCTGCAATGGACTGGTCTGAAAATACCCCTTCCCTTTTCCTGGAAAGTCTCTGAGACACGGTTTTCAGTATAGGAAATGAATGAGTGGCAATAAAAAAATAACATAAATTCACACTCTGTCGCCTCTTCAAAGTGAGAAGACACCACTTAATTACAGCTTTCATGATCAATGATAGATTCCTACCAGCAGTGCTGTAGATAAACCTGGCACAGTGGAAAAAGACTTTACAAGGGATTTACAAGATAACCTCTGATTTTTATCCTATTTGAAACTGGCCACATTGCTTTTATCCTCTCTGCTGTTTGTCAGCTACAGTCCCAAGGAAGAAATCTAACATTTGTGTTGTTGAAAGTTCTCTTCAAAATTATGCTAATGACTTCCATGGGGTATTTCATTACAGTTTCTGAATCTTAATGGTGAAATAACCTCACATATCCAGCCTATAAAATACAATGGGAACCTTTGACCTTGCAGATGTTAGGAAATAACAACATCTTTCAGCACCACAAGTTTCACATAAGTCAGACTTAAGGTAATACTCATTGCTGATCTCCTGCCAAAGAAATGAGCAAAACTGACTGAAAAATAGAGTAATTATGCTGGAAATTGTCTCATGATCATCTCAGACCTTGATAATGCTATGCTGACACCTGTACAAGGGCACTTCACCCCTAGATGTGTTAAGAGAAATTACCATTATGAATTTCAAGACAAATGAAGAAAGTTCCAGGTACTCCAGCTGCTGTTGAAGTCACCATGTATTGTAGGTTGTCTGGCAGCCACATCATGAGTAAAAACTGAGCACAGATTCCAGGAAAAAGGAGGTACCAGGCTCTAACATCTGCTTCTAAATCTTAATGTTTACTAGAAAGCAGCACTTGTCAACAGAGGCAGACAATAGACAACAGGAACCCTAAATACTTTCCCTGAACCTTATGAGATCAGTTTTCTGATAGCATCAATCTCCATATATTTATAGGCAAAAAATCACCCAAGTTAATGGTAATTTTAAGAAAACTTCATTACATACATTTTTATAAATCAACAATAATATTATAAATTATGACCAAGTCTGGTCATGATGAGAGTTGAGTCATACACATATGAAGAGAGTAAAATATAGCATTCATGCATCACAATTATATGCACCATGAAAAAAGCCATTTATTTAGTGGAGTGACTTTTCATTAATGAGGTCCAAGTAGTTGAGATGTTGGGTTCTCAAAAAAAACTTTCATGCAGACATTTGAAAATGAAGGTGTATCTTAGGACTTTATTTGGAGAAACCAAACCTTCTCTAAGGGATTTGCAAACTAAAAGTGAGTCTCTGCCTCACATGGCTTGGTAGCCTCAGAAGTATGGTTTGGCTGCTGGAAAACTTTTTATCTAGAATGGAAAAATCCACAGCTTCTCAAAAGTAAAAAAAACCAAGAACTTTATGAACTGGTACTTTCATTACCTTTCAGAATCTCCCAGGCCCACTCCTCAACACAGGACTGAAAATTCTGTGAAGTGATTGAAGCTCCTTATTCAGCTGAAAATAGAAATACTTATTTTGATCGTGGGAAACATCAGAAAACACTTTTAGCTTCTGTACTAGGGGGTTATAAACCAACTTATCCGGTCTGGAGGTCTCTGAAGTCAGAGGAAATTGTGTTATTCCACCTTCTGAAATTCAGATTTGCTTAGTAGTGTTTCAAGCACAAATACAGGTAAAAAGCAAAAACCAAAAAAAAAAACCCCCAAAAAAACTTGAAGAAATCATTACAACAGTTTCAACCTCTATATCATTCAAATAATGTGTTCAATCTGCTTCAAATTCATAGTAAAGAAGACTGCCTTGTTGAAAAATAAGATATGCAAAAATTCTAAGTTGCTTGCAGAGTAAGAGGAAAACGTAAATCTGTAAAATGGGGTGTTTACTTATACTTTTGGAGAAGCTACATTGAACTAGCTGCTTTTAGAAAAATTGCCTGAGCTAATAGCTTATTGACACACTAGAAATATCAATTTGATCAGCACAATGAAAGTCTTAAACCCTAATTTTTTCTCAATATCATAATATATTGTTGACATAGCAAAATTGCATTCTGTCCAAGAATGCAATGATCTCCACACAGTTGCAATGTAAATTTCACATTCTGGATGAGTTGCAATTGAATTTCCTGTTATGGGGCATTAAGTCTGTTATTTCATTATTTTTCTAAATAACTTACACTAGGTGTCAAGATAGAAAAACATTGACCTGTTAGAGTGAGTCCAGAGGAGGCCACCAACATGGTTAGAGGGACAGAGCAGCTTTCCTGGGGTGAAAGGCTGAGAGAATTGTGTTTATTCATCTTGGAAAAGAGGTGCCTTAGGAGTGATCTGATTGCAGTGTTCCAGGATCTGATGAGAGCTCCATCCAGCCCAGCTTTGAACAATTCCAGGCAGGTAGTATCCACCACCTCTCAGGGCAACCTGCTCCAGTACCTCACCATCCTCACAGTAAAGAATCTCTTCCTTATATCTAATCCAGCCCTATCCTATTTGAGTGTAAAGTTGTCCTATTGTAAAGAGTCCCTCTGTGTCTTGTAGGATCCCTTACTGGAAGGCTGAAGTTGTTCCTGGAGGACCCTTCTCTTCTCCAGGTTGAACAGCCCTAATTCCCTCAGCCTCTCCTCACAGGAGAGATGAGGTGAGAGGTGCTCAGTCCCTCTAATCATCATTGTGGCCTCCTCTGGACTCATTCCAGCAGGTCCATGTCATTCCTGTGCTGAGCACCCCAGAGCTGATGCATCACTGCAGGTGGGGTCTCATGAGAGCAAAGGGGCTGAATCCTCTCTTATCCTGCTGCCCAAGGTGCTTTTGATGCAGCTGTTTGGCTTTGAGGTTTCAAGCACACACTGGTGGATCGTGTCCCGCCTCTCATTCACCCCCAAGTCATTCTCAGCAGGGCTGCTCTCAATCCCTTCATCCCCCAGCCTGTTCCAGGTGTTGTCCTGACCCAGGTGCAGCACCTCACCCTTAACTTCTTAAATCTCATGAGGTTCCCATTTTTTCTTCCAGTTTGGCACAATACAAAATGAGGAAATGGTTGAAACATTAGAAAAGACTCTGGAAGTAACCACCTCATACTTCAGTGGGGGCTCTGCCACTCAGCTGAAGTGTGCTCCTGGAGAGGGAGCATTAGCATTTCTCAACATCCAATTATGAAAGGTCTTTTTGTCATCTTGTGTGTCAGAACTAGTTGGGAAAAAAGGAAAGAAAATACAGAAAATTGTTTCTCAGACCCAACACCAACATTTTGCAGTCAAGAATCGAAATTTCCTCTCTATTTTTAAATATATAGTAACATTGCCATTTCATTGCCATGGAAGTTTCACTGCTGGAAAAAAAATAGAAAAAGTAGAAAGGGCAACCAGCACTTGCAAGGTTCCCAACTGGATCCCCCCTCCTCAGTTTTGGTAAAAACGTGCCAAATCTGAAATACTTTACACAGTAGGTTTCAGATTTCATCAATCCATTTTTTCCATATATTTTTGGTTAAAGCTTCTAGAGCTCCAAATCAGATTGGAAATTATTATCAATCCTTAAAAGGTTTTAGAAGGAATAAGAAATTCTTTACTATTGAAAGTTTCCATGGGGCTATTGCATTACAGCAAGAAATTAATTGCATATATCTGCAAATATATTAATTGTGTGCAACTACATGACAAAATTATTTCCTAGTGAAAACTTATGCTCACTTGCACCAAGGGTGCAATTCACAAACCTCTGTGCTAATACAAGGCTCCTGAAGTTTGGATTTTCCATTTCTTACTGAAGAACCTACTCTTTAGTGCAGAAGCAGGTCCTAGTGTGTGATGTGAATTCTTCAAAGATCTTTCCCCTGTTACGTACTTGGATCACAAATCCATCATTCTCTATTAACGTTGAATTACTAATTATGTCATAGTTGAGTCCACACACTGTAATAAAAACACTGAACCTGTCAAATAGTAAATTTGAACACAAATGTAATGACAAAGAAGCAACTCTTGAATATGTCTGGCACTGAACAAAATTTTTACCCTTTTATAATTTATAATTTTATTATTTTTTAAACTCAGAAAGAAATGTCATTTTAAGGTTTTTTAAGAATTTGAGTAATTTGCTATTAATTTGAAACAAATGGAGAACCAGACCTTTTTTAATTAAGATAATTATAGATGCTATTGAGATCTAAATAATGAAACAGTGAATTTAAAAGTAAACTAAAGAGTCTATGAAAAAAAAATCTCTTAGAACATTGGAATAAAGAAAGCAAGTAAGCTCACATTTGAATGTGACAATATGTTCATGGAATATTGGACTGCTTTACATTGGAAATTTGCCTCAGATGAAAGTGACTGTAGTTCTGCAATAGCAATGAAATCATGGCTGGTAATCACCAGTGGGAATTTTCTTCCTCCTGGCTGGAACCCCAGAGCTCAACAGAAGAATGAAACAAGCAAGTCCAGCATTAAGAATTACATTGGGATAGGGATCTATTTGAAAGCTGTCTGGATTCTGACCTGCTAATTAACTCTTATTTTAAGAATTTAAAAGGAAGATGGGATTTCTGTGTGTGTGATGTCAGCTACTCTGTAACATTCATGTTAAAGCAGCAAAAAGGAAATGTTGTACTAGAGAAAGGCAGAATATGCTGCTTGCTGATTCCCTTCTGCCTTTGACACAGAAATGAAACTTATCTGAGTGAAACAGCTTTTGAAAAAATCCCCCACATCCAGTTGATTTTATATATAGCTCTTACTTGAGATCTCGTCAAAGAGAAGAAAAGCCTATTTGATATTCAGCTACCTCTCCAAAATATGGTTTTGCATCAGTAAAGCACAAAACATTTGGAGATGGCCACATTTCATGTCTTAATGGACCTGATCTGGCATAACACTTGGGACCATTCCAGAATAAATTATTGAGGGCAACTTTTTCAGACATAATTCTTTAGTCCTTCAATAGATTACTAAAAATAAAATAACAACAAAAAAAAGCCCCAAATAACAATAATAAAAAATCCACCTATTTTTATATTAATTGAAGACACTTTAAATTTGATTTTCTCAAGTAGTTTGTGAAATCCATTAATTTTAAAATCCTCTTATGGTTCATTCTGATATTAATTCTGCTAATTCATTTTTTTGCTTTTAAGACCTTAATCCTGTTTCAGTGGACAGAGATCTCACCTACATGACAGGTCAATTTGAATATATTCTTGAATTCTGGCAAATATTTATTTATTTAACTAAGATTAGACATGCAAGCGAGTTGAAACCTATAAAACAATTTTTTTTGTATTCCAGTGTAACAAAGTTGGGTGGAGGGGGTTTTATGCTAAATGAATTATACAAGTGTAATCATCTACAGCTGAATTAACTGAATATGAGACATATACTTTTCACACACAGAAAGACTTAGACATCTACTGCAATTTACCATAATACCTCTTTAACACTTAGGAGATCTGAATATTTAGAGTAGTAATGTGTCACTATGTGATTGCCAAGATAATTTGTGCTGTGCATAGCACCCAAAAACTGCAAATCCTAATTCACTTATTTTCTTGTCTCCTGAAGAATTGTTTGGTTCCTAAATCCTCCCTGTGACTTTCAAACGTAGTCTTAAAGCTAGACAAATTTATGGTTATTTTATGCCAAATGAGTTCCTAACATGCATGGCTGCTGGAATTGCAGAAACTGAGAAAATGATCCACTCTGTGTATTGTCAGAACCTAATATTCATGGGGAACTGAACATTGTTAAAATCCTCAAAGAGCAAATTCTAAAATAAAAACATTTGTTCTGCAAATAGAGACATTTTGGAGGGTATGGAAAGGACATTCTTGTTTGTAACTCGCATATTTTTTGGATGGTTCATATTAACAGCCTTATTGAAAAGATGAAAGGTTATCATCAGTAGTGATAATACACACAAAACCTGTGTGAAACAAACAACCAATTCATATTTAGGGAGCTATAAGTAATCAAATGGGCAATGGAGCATGCTGTGAAAATTATAAGATTTGCATACTTTTCTGAGAACTTCAGAATTAACTCACAATGGCTCTCCTGATCACAACGCTTCAGTAGCAACACTGGATATATTATCCTTTTATAGCAAAAGAGGCTTCAAAATCAGTTGTTAGTTGCATAATATCAATTAATCTGACAGGATCTAGAAGACTTTAGAGGGAGCTGATATCAGCTGGTGGAGAGGACACGTCACCAACTTAGTAGAACTGTATCCACTGCTATTTGAAATTGTAATACTTGTGTACATACAGATTAACTCTAAATTTAAAGTGTGTACTTATGCTTGCTAATGTTTATGGTGCAAGGGTTTAAAAGGAAAAAAAAGACAAATAGCTTGTCTTTTTTGAATTTGAAGGTACAAATACCTTCATTGTAGCACAAAATTGATTAAATACATTAAAAAAACACCAAAATTTACTTCTAGTGCAATTTTATGCAACATTTCTTTCTCTTTTGGGGAATTTCATTTTTCCTGAGC